TTGTATCTCCAAAATTCTGAGTTCTTCTGCTAAAATTGGCTCCACTTTCACCAATAGCCTCTCCTAGACTCTCTTTGGAGTGACAAGCCTCAACTTATCTCCATGACCCCTTAAATTCTCTGCCATTAAAGTCCTCTCCTGGCCTCTCATAGTGCCAAGACTCAGCTGTTCTCCATAGTCTCTTCATTCATTTAAAACCAATATCACCTCAGTGACTCTTACACAATTAAGTTCAGCTGCTAGCAACATGTTATACCTTTGACACCTCTGGAACACAACTTCTGTGTGGGGAATCTCATAAAATCTTCCCAGAAGATTTCCTCTCAATGATGAAGGTCTCTCTCTCTCTCTCTCTCTCTCTCTCTCTCTCTCTCTCTCTCTCTCATATATATATATATGAGACAACACAATCTGAGTTCCCACTCCCTTCCCTCCTCCCACTCCCTCCACATACCCTCCCAACCCCCATATCCAATCATCAGAGAGGGGCTGGGGACCCTGTGGAAGCTCCAAGTCCCTCCTTCCTCACTATATCTAGGCTAAGCAAGGCATCCATGCAAAGAGAATAGGTTCCCAAAAAGCCAGTACAAGCAGTAGGGATAAATCCTGGTACAACTGCCAGTGGCCCCTCAGTCTTCCCCATCCATGCAACTGTCAACTGATAGAAATGAAAAACTGGTGAGAGCGTCAGAGTGACCTAATCGCTTTCCACCTGAACCACACATTTAGGCTAGGCTATTTTGAAAAACACTTCACATGTGACAAGGGCCATCGCTAGAGCTGATGACAACTGTGAGAGCATTGCCTCAAGGATAGCCAAGAACTAGCCAATTAAAAATATGTCCATAGTATGCTTCATCTACACCCTCCAACCAAGGACAGGTAGGAACAGGCAAACTGAGAACATACTTATGTCCATACTTCATTTTCATAATGATATCATGCTTATTGTATTCCACGCCTTTTTGTAATCGTTTGCTGTCCTCAATTAGGTCTGGGTATGCAAATTAGGTGAGAACTGGTGGTCCTGCAAGATTGTCTATAAAGTCCTGTAATTTTTGGGTGGCAGCTCTTCCCACCCTCACTGCATTGAGTGTACTGGATGAGTTCCTTGCCTAGGCTAATACTGTGATTTGGAATAAAACTTGCTTTTTCCCATCTAAGTCCTGGATCCCTGGTGGTATCTTTGGGGACAAGAGTCTAGGCACAAAACATCCACACTCGGAGAGACCAGTTTGCTCCAGTATTTGAGCCTTCCCAGTCTGGCTGGAGTTGGTGTGCTCCTATTATCTCAGGTAAACTGTTTCAGTGGGTATCCCCATCATGGTCTTAACCTCTTTGCTCAAATTCTCATTCCTTCCACTTTTCAGCTGGACTTTGGGAACTCAGTCCAGTATTCCAATGTGGGTCTCTGCCTCTGTTTTCATCAGTTGCTGAATGAAGATTCTACAATGATATTTAAGACATTCATAAGTCTGACTACTGGGCAAGTCAAGATCAGGCCCCCTCTCCTCTATTGCTGGGGTCATCCTTGTGGATTCCTGGGGATTTCTCCAGAGCCAGGTTGATGCTAATCCTACAATGGCTCCCTCAATCAAGATATCTATTTCACCATTAAATTTCTCAGTCCCAATAAAACAGCTTCAATTATCCCAGCAAAGCAAAGGTTTTACTCTAGTAGGTATCTTGTTAATCACAGCTGATTCTTCAGCCCCAGCTAACCAGAAACAGAGAATCTTAACGCAAAATAACAAATATCCTCATGAAAGTCTTTAAAATTAACTCTAAAACTTCACAAGCCATGCCTCCATCTTTTGCATTGCCCTCAACATCCTCCGTTCTCTTACTGAACCAAACATTGAATGAACATGTAATGGCTTTTCTTACACAATGTTCTAAAACATTTCCGCAATCCTTCCCCAAAACTACATGGTCAGGTATGTCACAGAAATACCCTACAATGCTGGTACCAACTTGCTTTAGAGTTTGTTTCTTAAGTGAAACGTCATGACCTAAGCCAAGTTGGGGAAGAAAGTGTTGATTTGACTTATACTTTGATTACCGTTCATCATCAAAGGAAGTCAGGCAGCAACTCAAACAAAGCAGGAAGCTGTTCTGGAGGCAGAAGCTGATGCAGAGGTCATGCAGGGGTGCTGATTACTGGCTTGCTCTTTATGGAAATCTCAACTGTAGGGCCCACAGGTCTACCCCTCCTTTCGGGGTTCATCTTGAGGACAGCTTTTGGCCAGACATCTTGTTGCAGATTTCGGCTAAATATCGTGTTTGTTCTTGTGCTCCCTCTGCCCCTGGTGGTTAGCTATAGAACTGTTTATTCTCCCTTGGGTTTGGTAATTTTCCACCTGCCTGGGGGGATTGTGCAGCAGCTAGGTATATAAGGTTTTTCTTGAGCTTGAATAAAGGGCATTTGGCATTCTCTCCTCAGGAATGACCTATGTCTCTTGTGTGTCCTTTAATCTCCAGGCCCTCGCCCGGCTCTCGAATGGTACAGTAGCACAAACTGTACCATAGTGAGTAATGCAGGCATTACACTAAACCCTGCTTTCTTGTAGAACCCAGGGCCACCATTTTAGGTGTGGCACCACCCACAATGGACTGGGCCCTCCTCCATCAATCACTAATAAAGAAAAGAACCTACAGGGCTGCCTATAGCCCGATCTTATCAAGGCACTTTCTCAGTTGAGGTTCCCTACTCTTCAGTGACTCTAGTTAGTGTCAAGTAGATATAAACCTTACCAGCATTCCAAACACAATGTTGCTTATACTACCAAGGAATTTTCCTTTATTTATGACAGCCACCAAGATTTCCAGTACAAATAAGGATTCCATTTATGACAGTGAAGAAATAAAAAGAACCAAGGCTTTAGATCAGTGAAAATTACAGGCTTGGTGGGAGCCTAGCCAGTTTGAACGTTCACCTTCCTAGACATGGACGGAGCGGGGAGGACCTTGGACTTTCCACAGGGCAGGGAACCGTGACTGCTCTTTGGATTGGAGAGAGAGGGAGAGAGGAGTGGGGGGAGGGGGAAAAGGGAGGCTGGGAGGAGGTGGAAACTTTTTTTTCCTTTTCTCAATAAAAAAAATACCAAAAAAAAAAGAAAATTACAAAATGCATATACAGAGAACAATGTGAGTTTTCCTAAAAAGGAAAGACTTGATAAACATATAGCAAAGATGAGGTGCGACAAATAACACTAAAAGGTCATCAGTCTTCCCAAAGCTTGTCACAGTGAGAAAAGAAAAATTACCAAATATCAGACAGAGAAGTCAAAGAAGATACACACACTGAAAAGACACTCTGTTTTCATAGACTGGGGGAATTCAAATAGTCAAAAAGTCTATAGAACTCAACGTGCTCCAAAGAGTCCATTAAACTTCTATGACATTCTCCACATAACTAGTAAAAAAACCTTAAAGGCACTGGACCTCCTGACTTCAACAGATACCATGAAACTGGAGGTAATCAAAGCAGCATGGTATTTATTTGCAAAACACAGACACATAGATAAACAGCACAGAATAAAGACTTCAATAAACCCACACATTTACAGAAAATCAATTTTCAATAAAAGTGCTAAGAGCACACAAACATATTGGGAAAAGACAACAAATAAATAAATAAATAAATATTGTTAGGGAAATTGGAAAACTCACATGCAAGGGGTTGAAAGTAGAGTGATCTCTCACACAAGTTGTAAAAATCAAATACAACCAGAAGGACAGCTCAAATATAGTATTTGAAAACCTATATTGTATATAAGTTTATATATTATACATTTATATGTGCAATATATGAATATTATATACATAATATAGGTTTTAAAATATAAATACAAAATTCTATAAATATAAGATGATATAACCACTAGAATAAATCTTAGGAAAAATATTCGGAAAAGTGGAAGCAGTAAGGACTACGGACATTTCAGACAAGGTTCCAAAACCCCAGACAACAAAACCAAAATAAACAACTGAATTACATGATAGTAAAAGACTTCTGGTCAACAAGGAAAATAGTCATCAGTAGCAAGAAGGGGACTATCTTCTGAAAAGAAGAAAATATTTACAAACTCCACTTCTGAAAAGGATTTGATATTTGAAAACATATAAGGACTTTAGGAAAAAAGCTACTTGGTTTTATGAACAATAAACCTAAATAGACATATCTCAAAAAAGACATACAAAATGTCTAGTGGGCACATGAAAAATTCTTAACATCACTAATCATCAGGAAAACGCCGATCAAGCCACCAGAAGATAACAGCTTACTCCACAAGAGTAAGCTACTATTAAATAAAATAGGTACTATTAAAAACACCAAAGGAAAGTGGGTGTGCAGATAGAGAAGGCAACCCCTGCACAGTAGAGGTGAAGTGGAAATTAGAGTGGCCATTTTGAAAAACAACTTGAAAACTTTTCAAAAAGTTGAAAACAAAGGTGCTATATGATAAAGCTATACTATTTCAGGATATACATTCAAAGGGAAAAGAAATCAATGTTGAAATGTTGAAGAGATGTCAGGGCACTATTTATAACACATGAGAGATGAAGGAACTGCCTGTGTGGAAATGATGAACAGAGTGAGAAGTGTGGTGCACACACCCTTGTGAACTGTATTTGGACATAAAAGGAAAGTCTGTCATTTGCAGCAACATGGATGGAACTTTGGGCTCATCTATGTTTAAGTAAAAAAAAAAAATCCAGACAGAAAGACAGGTATGACATGATCAAATCTATATGGTGCTCCAAAAATATCTATAATAGTTATGTATCAGTTAAACCTAATCTTAATGTCAAAATGTAAGGGCGTTAACAAAAACAAAACCTCACTTGAATTCACTGCTTTCAGAATAGAATTGTACATTGAAAGAACTATTTTTCTCCAAAATGGTAATTGCTGCTAGCCACTGCATGACCAAATTTGTAAGGTTACTTTTTAAATGTAAGGAATACAGTGACAGAAAGAAATCACATTCTACAGATTATACCTTCGTCTGACAAGGTTGGCTCATTAAATTCTCAGTCTCTGTTGATGGCTGTGTGGTCACCTTTGTTGATGGTTCTGACCTGGAGATACCATGACACTGTTAGGGAAATAAACCGAATACTGACCTAACACTCCCCCTCCTGGCAGCACATTGTCAGTGAAGGGTACCAATTAGACTTTGAGAGATTCAAACACAAATTCTCTTGAGAGTTTGACAAAATTACTGCAACTTGCCTATTGTTTTTACTTTAAAGTACTGAGAGCAATATTTATAACCTGTCTCTATGGAGATCATATCCTCTATATTCCAAAACTTATCATCTGTTCCACAAATCCCAGATCCATACATGTAGATAATTAACATACTCCCATAAGTATAAAATAGGCATTTAAACATGACAACGTTTAAAACAGAATTCTTAATCCTCCCTCCAAAGCTTCCTTTTCTTTTATTCTTGTACATATTTGTAAAAGTTCTCTTTACTGCTAAAACACTTACTTGGGGTAAGGTAATGTTTTCCTCTCGCTTGTTCTCCGTTCCTGTCCCTCAGGAAGCCTTCCCATCCTGAGTAGAACCTTAACCCCTCCTCCTCATTTCTACCTCTTCAGTCTAGACAGTTTCCATCTGTCTCCTGACTACTGGAGCCGTCTCTTCAGAATGCTCCTTCGTTCTTGTCTTTTAAGATCTACCTTCCGCATCCCAGAGAGTGAGAGAGCCTTCTAGATTCTAGATCAGATCCACATGCTCCTCTGGTTTATATATTTGGATTGAGACGGTGCAGAACAAAACCTTCCAGATGGCTGAATTCAAAGAATACATAACGACGGCCAAATAAACCACATGCTGCCTCTTAAGTTTATGGTTTCTACTGTCACGGCCTAGTATCTTTTTTTTTCCATTTATCTTTCCATCATGCACTGCTGTTCATGAGGAGAGCTGGACAAATAGATGGGTATTTTACTGTTTAATTCTATAAAGTAAGATCTTCTCAAGTGATGTGACGGACTTTGTTGACTTCCCACGGGAGGCCTCACTCTCTTGGAGGAATGGGTAAAGAGTGGGGTGGGGGAAAGTGGGAGAAGTGGGGGAAGTGGGAGAGAACTGGGATTGGTAGGTAAAATAAAAAAGATTGGCTCAAAATAAAATAAAATATAAAAGTAAGATCTCGCTTTGACCTTAGGCATCAGATAGACCTATTTCAGGCTTCTGCGTCTCTACCACACCACCTACTGTCCTGGGCCTATGCGCTATTCTGTGAAAATTTGTTCTCAATAAAGAAATATTCATTTTTCAAGACAGAGTTTCTCTGTGTAGCCCTGGCTGTCCTGAAACTCACTCTGTAGATCCCACTGTCCTGGAACTCAGAGAGCCGGCTACCTCTGCCTGCCCAGAGAGAGGATTAAAAGAATGCACCACCACTGCCCCAGAATCAATAGAGAATCTTAAAACTGGGCTGGAGACATAGCTCAGCAGTTAAGAGCATTTATTGCTTGTTCAGAAGATCCTGATTCAGTTCCCAGCACTCATGTGGAGTTTTCACAATTGCCTGCAACTGGAATTTTAACACCCTCTTTTGGCTCCCACAGGCACAAGGGGCACACAGGGAAATACCTGTATATAGAATGTAAAAATAAACAAATATTTTCTTTAATAAAAGCAATCTTATACTCAACTCACCACAAACAGAAATGCTTTCCAACACTCTAGTTTTATGACTATTTGATGTCAGAAACTGCTGAACCCATGGAAATGAGTCTTTCTTCAATATCCACTTCATGATGAACTTTTTCAGATCCCTTGTAACTTTTAAAAAGTTATCATATAGCTTACCTTTTTTTGTTTAAATTAATATAGAGAAAGGTCCCAAGGATGATACTCGAAACTAAAAACAGAATAATGAATACAACTGCAGTCTTCTTCCAATTTGAAACATGATGCATGGTCCCTGAAAAACACAAACCAGAACATATTGTTTCTCTGATTACACTGTACTGACATCTTGGTGTCTTTAATTTGTAATGTTTTATGACTTGCTGTAGTTTAATTGACTTTCCAATTTATTCTATAAGTCTGTCTTCTGACTACTGTAGCCGTCTCTTCAAAATAAGATAATTTTTCATTACCATGGAAGGAAAGGAAAAATTTTAGGTAGTCTCCCCTTTCCTTGAATATAACTAGGGATGTGTATGACTTTAAGTAAGACACTATGACTCTGCCTTTGACTGCACAGATGGGGTTTTATCTGCTATTCATTTTCAATGAGATACTACGGAACCATTTTATGTGGATGGAAGAGATTGAATATGAAGAATTTGATACTGGAATATGAACTCTTTTCTGAAGGCAATTCAAAAAAAGCAAAGTAATTGCACAAGAATTTCACTGGAATCAGGAATTTACACCCCTAATATTTATCATAGAATTAAGCAATGAAGAACCATCTTCTCAAGTGGTAAATTACTTCTTGTAGACATCTGAATTTTAATAAATAATTAGGACTAACCATCATAGCACATCCAATAGATTTACAGAAGATACTTGTAGTATTTAATTCATATAACCAAATTGTTTGAATTGGGAAAATTGACAAGAAAAAGTAGTTGGCCAACTTCAGTTTCAAACAAACATAACAAAAATACTTATCTCTAATATTTTTGAGACTCTTTAAAAGTAGCATTAAAATATAAACTGTTAAATGAAAAAGAGCAAGAATATTGACATAGCCTTCAGAAGGAGACTTAAAAAATATGTAATGTGATCAGAAGAATGAGCTCTGGAGGTGAAGGATGAAGACAGTGAAACAGAAGATGACTGAAGACTTTAAAGTTATTATTTTCAGATATACTTAAAGAGATATGACTTTCTCAACATAAGTATTGAGGAAATGTTTCTTTAAAAAATGAACACTTTTAGCCCCCCCAACTGCCAGGCACAGGTAGAGGAGGGGCTCAGCATTTCCCACTCTACAATGCTTAAATATTTCCTGCTGATATATTCAGGGAAATTGGAAAACCTTGTCTTCAGTTGTATATATATCCACTGGTGATCATATAGTCTCCAGGAGGATATTACCACTGATGGCCCTGGATAAACTAAGTGAGACACAAGGTAAGATCAAATGTTATGAGCCTAGGAGAGTGTGGGGAGAAGGAATGTGGAGGTGTTGGGATTGCAGTGGATGAGAGTTAAGAAATGGGAAGAGAACAGAAAGGAATCAGAATGTATCATGTATGTATGTGCAATTACCAAAAATTTAACTTAATAAAAATTACTGTGGGACAATGGTTTGTACCCTGTCAATTGTATTTTAATAAAATACTGATTGGCCAGTAGCCAGGCAGGAAATATAGGCAGGATAATCAGGCAGGAAGAAAAGGTAGGGAGACAAGATCAGGAGAATTCTTGGAAAAAAAAAGCTTGGTCCACAGTCGTGATCCAGACCCAGAAGAAGAAAGACATGACTGCCTCTCTGATTAAGGTACTGAGCCATGTGGCTAGCATAGACAAGAATAATGGGCTAATATAAGTTATAAGAGTTAATAAGAAGCCTGAGCTACACCTTACTAGACCTGGAGGGAGGTGGGTGGTCCTTGGACTTCCCACAGGGCAGGGAACCATGATTGCTCTTTGGGCTGACGAAGGAGGAGGACTTGATTGGGGGAGGGGGAGGGAAAGGGGAGGCGGCGGTGGGGAAGAGACAGAAATCTTTAATTAATAAAGAAATAAATGAATTAAAAAAAGAAGCCTGAGCTAATGGGCCAATCAGTTTATAACCAATGTAGACCTCTGTGTGATTTCTTTGGGACTTAACAAATGTAGGAACCAGGCAAGACAGAAATTTGCCGGCCGGTGGTGGCGCACGCCTTTAATCCCAGCACGCGGGAGGCAGAGGCAGGCATATCTCTGGGAGTTCGAGGCCAGCCTGGTCTACAAGAGCTAGTTCCAGGACAGGCAACAAAGCTACAGAGAAACCCTGTCTCGAAAAACCAAAACCAAAAAAAAAAAAAAACAAAAAAAAAAAACAGAAATCCCAACAACAAATAGTGCCCAATGTGGGTACAAGCCCATGACCCTGCGATTAAGAGGCTCATGCTCTACCGCCTGAGCTAGCTGGGTGGCCAGGACAAACAAGCAGTCCTTTCCTTGCAACAAAAAATGAACAATTTTCATTTTAAGTTGAAAAAAGAAACTTTAAATTAAAAACATTGCTTCTCAAAAGAAGGAAAAATTCCATAAGAGAACTTGAAGAAAATATTTATACAATCTCCCAGATAATATGAATAGAAAAGAGAGTCATGGCTATTAAAATGAAATAGAAAGCTTCCCCAGATGGTTGGATGAAATTTTGATGAACGTTTTCTAAAAGAAATCAACTAAATTAATGGGAGTAAATTCTCCATGAAACAACAAAAAATATGGAAAGTTACATCTTTCTCACTATCCCTTTAAGTTTATCACAACCAAATGTCAATCATTATATTGGAACAAAATAGACCACATCTCCTTACCAAATTATATCATTACAGGTTTTCATTTCATTCTCATTGCAGGAATCCTATGGAAGCTGTCAAAATACAGTAATAGGAACAAGATTTAAAGCTAGAGAGTTATTACATACTATGTCACCAAGTGAGGGCCTGGAAAACTAACCAGCTTGTACTGATTTACAATGGGGAGAAAAAATACACAAAACTTCTTGTTCTTTTGATTTTCAACAAACTGCTTCCCCTGTTGATGTTAGGTTTGAAGAAAGATTATATTGCTTGATTTTATTTTAAAATTTATGAAGTGTTATTGTACTTATCTTAAACACTTAAAACAACACTGGGTCTTGTTTTATAGATCAGGCTGGTCTTGAATTTAGAAATTTATTAGTGTCTGCCTTCTGAGTGCTGGGATTAAAAGCATGCCACTACCACACCTGGCTCTAAGCCCTTCTTTAATTCCTTTTCATAAGTTGAAAGCTCAGCTGGGTGGGATCCTGTCCTGAGATCACCACACCCTTTATTCCATTTAACATCTGGCTCTTCTTTAATCTGTTTATCTCCTTTAAATGAATCCTAACATAAGATTTAGTTTCGTTCAATGTCCTAGTGCCTCTTTCCTCCTCAGTCTGCACATTTTGTATATTTACTTGCTTGGCCTGCTCCTTTTCATCATAAATCTTTTCAAGAGTAACCACTAGTAACTGCATGACAGAGTCTATATTAGGCTGTTTTGAAATTCCCTTTACCAGTGCAATAAGCTCCAAACTCTTTAACCTCAAGCAGACTTTTTGGACAAGGCAAAAAGTAGCCACATTCTTAACCAAAATATAACAAGTCTCTAGGTCACATACTAAATTTCTTCTCCTCTGAAATCTCATGAACCAGGCCCCCACAGTTCAAATCATCCCCAGCCCCACAGGCTTCCATGCTCCTACTAGAGTATGTCTCACTAAACACCACTAAAGTATTCTATTTCTTTCCTAATCCAAAGTTTCTGCATGACTTCTAGTTGGTCTTAATAATAAAAACCTAGAGCCAGATATTGGGATAACTGCTAAAAGATATGAGAGAGCAAGGATCAAGCCACAGCCAACTCTTACCTTGCTAACTCCGCAGCTGAAAAAGGCTAAGCTCTTGTCTCCTCCCATCTTATATTCGTCTCTCTGCCCAGTCATATCACTTCCTGTCTCTCTGTACAGACCTCCAGACCTCTATGGCTATCTAGTGGCTAGTTCCACCCTCTGATCTTCAAGCAAGCTTTATTTGTTAGAGCACAAACAAAATATCACCACACAAAGTCCACAAATTTATATTTCTACAAACAAAAGCATTATCAGGCCTACCACAGCATCACCCCAGTCCTGGTACCAACTTCTGTCTTAGTTAGGGTTTTTATTTCTGTGAAGAGACATCATGACCATGGCAACTCTGATAAAGAAAAACATTTAATTGGGGCTATTGTACAGCTTCAGAGGTTTAATCCATTCTGGTTATGGTGGGACATGGTGGCATGCAGTCAGACATGGTACTGGAGAAGAGGTTCTACCTCTTGATTCAGAGGCAGGAAAAAGAGACTGCCACACAAACCTTAGTTTGAACAAGAGATCTCAAGGACTATCTCTACAATAACACGCTTCCTCCAACAACGTCACACCTCCTAATAGTGCCACTCCTTTTGGGCCAATCATTCAAATACATGAGTCTATGGGGGCCATTCCTATCAAACCAACACAGATAATTCAGAGGTTTGCTACCAGAGCCTAAAAGGAATTTAAATTATTCTCCAATTGAGAATAAGGCTTAGAAGATTAAATAGGCCATTTAACTAATATTAGTTATGCTTCAGCCACTTGGTCCTGGCTTGAGATTCAAGGATAGAAGATAGGGGTTACAGAATCTCCATCCTTCACTAAGAAAAGCCACTGAGACCAGGCGTGTGTCAGTGGTGTCTCTGAATGGAGACCCAGAGAAGTCATTGCATGAAGCTGTGAAGATGAAGCCTGAATTGCCTTGGATACTCCAGGATGTTGGAGATGCCATTCATGGGATACCTGCCAAGGAGAGCTGCTAAGTGAGAGTGGAACCTGCCCAATGGGAAGCAGTTTGTGTATACTTGTTAGCATAGCTGAAAGAAGTTGCAAATCTGAAGAGCATTTTGACAGCAGACATGGAGATGCAGAGCTTGGGAGTTTTCCCAGCTGGTTATTTGTTTTGCTTTGGTCCTTACTATACCCCCTTTATTCCCTTTTAGAATGGTAATGTATGTCCTGTGTCATTTTATGTTGAAAGTATGTGATCTGCTTTCTTATTTTTATTTTAAAGGGGATTACAGTTAAGAGAAGAGTCTGAGAAGAGACTTTGAAATTTGGACTTCTAAACATGTTTAAGACTGTTATAGACTCTGGAGACTTTTAAAGTTGGACCAAATATATTTCTTCATTATGTTCTGGCTACAAGC